ATCTCACATTAAAATATACATAAAAATAAAACAAAAAAAAAAAATTTGTGATTAATAACAAAATGTTTGTTGAGTTTGTTCAATAACAGAATTAATCATTTTAGTAAATTCTTTCGATTCATGTGCTTCAGCAGTCATACTAATAACTAGAAGTAAACATCGTATTAATTTTGTAAAACGTAAAACAGCTTGAGTATGATTACATTGATTTAATAGATATTGCCATGTTAATTTAACATATATATCTTGTATAGACAAAATTGATTTAATATTTATCAAATTCATTGAAGTCGATTGCCTATAAACGGTATAATTTATTGTTGAAAAAGCAATAACTGCAAGGATTAATTTAATAAATGTATCATTATGATCAAGTTGATCAATAATACGTTTTATAAAAATCATTCCAATTGGTTGAAAAATAATTTCCGAAGATTTTAAAAAAGTAAAATCATCTAATAATTTTGTTTGTTTTAAGACATATATTCCACTTATACTCGATGTATATTCGACTGTTTTCCGAAATAAAATACTACGATCATCATGAGATAATGAAAGAATATCACGATGTTTTTCATATACACGTTGAATTCTACTCATAATTGATGTAAAAAAATCCGTAACTATCGAATGTTTGAATCGTAATTTAACCGGTAATGTATTTTGATCTTCGATAAATTGTTCAACTAATGAATAACGACTATGTTCATCAAATGAATAAACTAATGTTGAAAGAAGATTCCATTGATCATAAGATAAGGTTGAAATCTGAATGAACAAAATTCAAATATAATCATAAACTATTTGCGTTGATCTAATCTCTCCTAAAGTATATGTGATGAATTTCAATTCACAGATTGCATTCTTTTCTGCAAAACTTTAATTAGACATAAAGCCGTATGTATTAGCTCGACAAAAATATATAGATTTTAAGATGATTCTTCTTTTGACACATCGATGAACTTACAAATAGAGAATAGACAATTCTTAGGTATTACAACAGAAGGAGAAATGGGAAACTATTTTTTTCATGAAACATATGAAAATGTTTTACCTGTTCAGGCGGAGATTTTTTATTTAACATCTGTGCGGGTGTTGATATTATCGATATTGTACCATCAATTAATTTTCTCTTTTTAGTTAGAGTATTATTATGAGAATGACAAGATCTTAACATTTCGGTATGCATTCCATTAGCAAAACATTTAGCAAGTCGACATGGTAAACATTTCCGACGATTACTTATATTAATTTCACATTTATTATCATAAACACATTTATTTAGTGTCTAAATAAATCAATAGGAAAAAGTAAAATTCGCAAAAGATATTTCAAATTATAGTTTACCTGTTCAGTTAATGCATGGCGTCGAAAGAACATTTTACATGACTGACAGACAATCGCTCCATAATAAGAATAACGAGCTGATGCTCCACAGACTTTACAATCACGTAAACTTGTTGTTGTTTGCCGTACAATAATTAAATCTTTATTCATTGTATTTTTCTTTATAATATCTGAAAAATGAACGTATTGCCCTGATAAATGTAAAAAACAACGCCTTACAGAAATATGTTTCGTAATATGCAGCGATAGTGCAGAAGTAGACGGTAAAATGACGAGAAAAATCAGTGATAGAACAGGAAAAAATTGTTTTTTTGACCTTTGAAAAAGATTCTAAGTCGTACTATATTAGTTGCACTCTTACAGCAGAAAAGAAGGAATCGATGGAATCTAAGAAGATAAGAATGCGTAGAACACTGATGTAACTGAGTCTTGTCTATATAGACAACTATAAATAATACAGGAGACATTTACATTACTTGTCTTACGTCTTTATATATATTCATTGTAACTTTTTTTTGTATAGAATTTCAATATAATTTTTATTGAGCTCTGACTTTTTATAATCTTTACTCATTCTATTTATATATTAGTTCATTAATGTTAATGATGATATTAAGAACTATGGCTGTTTCAACGTTCTATCAGATCAAAATCATTCATTCTGTATTTATCATAAGAAAAAGTGTTTCGTATAAGATTGATTGCTACTTGTGTCTCTAGTTTTATATAATTTAAATGAATTTTACAAAGTAATTAGAATACACATATGTCTATTCTCGGAAGATTATTTTCAAGTATAAATGTGTCATGTAATTCAAGTATTAGAACGTCATAATCTTCTTGATTAAAATTAATAATAGAATAATTCAAAAAAAATTATTTAGTAAAAATAACGATGATTAATTCGATTAAATTGTTTGAAATATTATTTCTATGCTCACAATCAAGACAAAAGAAGTTATTTAACTAACTTTAGTATTGCGCTTTAAATAAATTTTAGACGAATAACATATAATTACACAGTATAATATAAATACCGACTAGAAATCTTAGAAAATATATAAATAACTTACAAAGGAAACTTTTGAGAAATAAGAATGGCACAATTAAAAGTATGTATTCTAGTTGACATTTTTTTTTATCATCAGTCAAAAGAACGACCAGACACTATTTATAGAAACGTGTAATATAGATTATTTGTTTGTTTGAATTAAACTTGAAAATAAAAAGATTTTTCTATATCTACAGATCATTAACGCTAAAGTAATTAATGTTCTTCATGGTCATGTACAATAAGACAAACTATCTAAATTCTAGAGCTATTTGAAAAGATACAATGTTGAATAATTTTATTTTCTCAAAAAATGCTGAATAATATCAATAATTAAAATTCAACAATAACTTTTGCTATTCCAGTAACTGTATCACAACCTTGATACCATAAAATAAATTGATTTGTTGCTATTTTTTTCCATCCTTCAGCAAAAACAACTCGTGGTGTAAGACCTCTTCTAGCCCATTTCTTTGATGTAAAATCACATCGTTCCCAATCAAGTTTAGGTGTTAATATTGGTCGTTCACTTCGTGCAAGAATTTTTGTTGGATCATTTCCATCCATAATAACCCAACCTAAATTATATTCACGATCCCAATCAGGTTTAAAATGATTATTAGGTAAAGGTAAACGTCTTGCTGAATTATATAAAAATAAATAATTTCCATCACTTAAACGTTGTGGTTCAGGACCTGGTTCAACTAATTCACTATCGAAATAATCCGAACGTATTTCAATAAAAGTTTTATTTTTATATTCATAATGAAGATAATCATCAGTTACTGCTAATGCTAATTCTATATTAGATTCATTAAAAAAAACATATTGATGTGTAGCATTATGAATAAG